GGTATATACTGTAAACAGATAGGCAGTGCAGGTGAAGAGTTGCTCCACTGACCTGCCAAGTTACACCAGTAGTGACACTAAGCAGGTAACACCAAACACAAGATCAATCTGCCCAAGACAGCCTGCTTGTCAGTTGGCTTTTGCTGACCAAGATTGCCCAGCACAGGGTTCCAGGGCCAGCAATGCCCTGAATTGTCAACACCTTGTAGATATATGATTGTATCTAGCATCACTGGATAATCGACAATTCGGCCGATAAATGGCCTGTCTATGGCCTGCACATGTGTCAAATTCTTGAGCAGAAGGATATCTGTCCATGATGTACCTGAAGAAACAGAAACATACAGAACACAAGCCCTCATGCTTTCTTATCTGACTAAATTATTTCTACCTGCAGGGGTTATCATCCTGCCCACAGGAAGAGAAAATATCACTTCAACAAAAGTCCTTAGATAAGAGGCATTAAGGAGAAGCTCCGCCTGTCAAAAAAACATGTACAAGTTCTAGGCCTCACCCAGGTGTCTTTTTTCCTGAACAGCATCTCTGGGCATAAAGGCCAGCCTAGCCCATAGCAAAAGGAAGGAAAGCATCAGCAGTGAATCCTTATTAAATCCAGTGGGCTGGAATCCTTTGTCAGCTTTTCTTAGCAGTACAGCGTGGGGCTAGGCAGTCTAAACACGTTACTATCAAGCTTCTGAGTTGCAATCACATAACTCTGACTTGGCCACTCAGCTTTGATAACCATTACATGGTCCTTGTAAATAGCCTATCCCTCCATCACTGACACTCCCCACTGGCTCACCTGAAGATGAGCTATCCTCGCAGCTGGGCTCCTTCCAAGTGGGGCTGACAAGGTGGGTGGGTGAGTCGGGCCTCTCCAGGAAGCTTGCTGGTTTCTGCTGGGCAGCACTGGTGAACAACGACCCTTCAGCAGCATCACTGGATAAACAATAAGTGGCAGAAGGCTTCGATTCTCCGCTGTAGGTACCGTAATCTTCACAGGGGAATCTCGGTCCTGTGACTTGACCCCACTCTCAGCATCCATCTCCCAAATTTCCCCGGCCATCTGAGGCTTAATCACCGGCTGCATCATACACAGTCCTGACTGCAGGTCCAAACTTTAGGTGATGGGTGTCAAGTTGCTGGGTGTCAGCTTCATTAGCAGCTCCCCACAGTGCCCGCACTTGATCCAAGCGCTGACCAGTGTGATTGGTCTTCTGAAGCCAGGGCAGATCAGGCACAGTCTCTCAACTCCCTCGATCAGACCAAGGGTGAATCCCCTTCGATGCTCCAGACGTACTCTGGTATCCACCGGGGTCATCTCTGGTAACAAAAATTTTGGAAAAAACTTGTACATTGTCCTCCATTTAGCTCGTCTCTCTTACTCTCTCAATGCTGGGTGTACTGGGCGACTTAAGAGTGTGGCCACACCTCTCACTCAGACTTGCAGTGCCAGCGGCACTGTTTTGCAGGATTTATCCCATGCTAGTGTTAACCCCTGCTCCGCCAAGCAGAAGTGTACTGACTGGGTTGCAGGCTTTAGAAGCAATGTTTCCTGTCTTGACATGATACCTGGCCCCAGCCACTGCTGGGCAACTGGGTATTGACAGTAGTGATGGCCCATGGTAGTTGCTACGGGAAACAGCAAAGTGTTTGACACACTCCCCACTGTAATTATCAGGATACATAAGCACAAAGTCTTGAATCCCAGACATTGTTGGGCAGCTGGACATTTGTAAACCCCAAAGTAATAAGCCGTCTGGGTTCCTACAGGCAACGGCAAGCAGGATCACACAGTTCACACTAAATTTAGCAGGACTTGAAATAAAATGAACATGAACCTCAGCCGCTGTTGGCGACTGAGTATTTGTAATCCACAAGTGCACCGCAGCTCGCCATAGTTGCTACAGGTGACGGCAATATGGACAATGATACAGGTCTCACTGACATACACAGGTAGACAATTAGCACAGTCTTTAACTTCAGCCACCTGTTGAGCAACAAGAAGACACTTGCACAGGCTTGACATGCTTGCCACAGGCGACGGCATGAACACCGGCACTTGAATAACACAATCCCAGTCCCAGCAGTACATCACAACTCCACTTTCCCACTCGATTCCTGTGATCACTTGGCAGCATATAACAGTCCTCTGGCTCAACAGTTGCCGGTTGCTAGGGGCAACAGCCATGCAGGTTACTATAGGGATATCCGGGAATAATGAGCCACCACAGGTAGCGCTACCCTCCTGAGGGCCGCTGTGTTTTTGGGCCCCCTAAGTTTTGCACAGCCAGACAACATGCATTTCCCACACTATTACCCTCAGACAGTAAGTCTATGAGCTTCATTTTTGTTGTTTTATTAGGGGTTAACAATTTGGATAGGGTGAAGGGGTTATGGGATGCCCAATTTGATTGAAGAAACAGCAGAATGAGGATGTTTCCTGCTCTAGCACACTTAGAAAGAAAAAACACAAACCCTTGACTGCGACCCAGCCGGAAACCATCACAGTCCTAAGTAGAATATTCTCCATCTAGGAGCTTGGTGTCTCCTGAGTAGATTGTGAGCAAAATGACAACGTGTAGGAGCTCTTGGTCCCCTTAGTGCACCTTAGCCCACCTGGCTATGGTATCTGATCCCAGGACAAGGGATTGGGTAAGCTATGAACTGTCGCCTGAAGATTTTCCAGAACTTGCATCCAGCAGACCTCTTTCTTCTAGGCCCTGGGGGTGTAAAGGTACTCACACTGTCCTTGCCCTGCAGCTGTAGATAGAACTGCTTTCAGCCCTTCTAGCTGGGCTGGTTCCTCTCCAAGCTTTGCAGGCTGTCGATGCTATGAGGTGGAAGGGGGAGCAGGGCTAAGTGACGCCGTGCACAGCATCGACACACATGGCTTTGGGAGCAAGCATGCACGTGTGCCCTCATAGCAAGTGGTTTGCTATGGGGGCACACAGAGAAGAGGAGCCAAGATTACCAGCGTGGGACCCCAAAGGAGGAGGTGCAATACTAGAGCAAAGAGCAGAGAGCAGGTGAGTAGAACATGTTTATTATTTTATTTAAAAAAATTTCCTTTATAACTTTAAACAGGTCATTCGTATATTAAAGAGACCGATAATTTTTGGACATGTGCAGAACAAAAAAAATTGTTTAGTTTCATTTTGGATCGATACGTTAAGTTACTCATTTTGTTTCGTTGCATTTGAAAGGAAATTCATTTCATTTAGTTTAGTTTCGTTTATTCGTTTTCGACCAGATTCAAGTTTTTTTCCAATGGATTTGAAGTATTCGAATTAAGTTAATTTAGACTTAAATGTGAATTGAAAATACAGAATCAATCCAAATTCATTGTGAAAAATAGCTGGTTCTATTCTATACTATTCCGTTGTATTCCTTTCTATTCTTTTCTTTTCCCTTATTGTATTTTATAATCTAATCTTTTCTTATATTTTCTATTCTATTTTATTCTATTCTTTTCAAAATTTGCATTTCAAAAGATGGGCTATATTCTTTCTATGTTATTATATTCTATTCACCAACTTATCTAATTAACAGATTTAATTACAAATTACAGAAGCAACAAACTTGCAATGCAATTATCTCTTACAATTTTGAGAAGGTACCAATAATTTTGTCTAGTCCATTTTTGGGGTTTTGGGTGGAATGTGTCAGATTTGGCTTTTTGTTTCTCCACTTGTGTCATACCAATACAAACAAAAAAAAAAAATAAACTTGAGAATGCCTAAACATTTGTAATTGAAACAATTTTCTGGGTGAAATGATGCATTATCTGACAGAAATGTAGGGGTGCCAATATTTTTGGCCTTGGCTGTAGGTCTTACACTTATTGTATTGGTTATTAACAGCCTTAGAAACGGATGATTTCAGGGGCATTAGCCTTTTTGGGAGTTGTATGTCTGCAACACATAGTTTAGTATGGATTTGTGGTACATATTTGGTGCAGAAAATTGATCTCTGCTCAATAAAGTGGTGTCTTTCTTTAAATGTAGAATTCAGCTTGCAGACTGCATATTGTACAGTTCTCTCAGACTGTGCAGTCACTGACAGGTAATCAAGCGCAGAAAGAACACACCTAAGATAATTATTCAGTTTCAGAGTAGGTGTAGTAAGTGGTTAATTTACCAAGTACCTCTGGTAAATTTCCTCAGGCAGTACAGAGACAGCAGATCCTGTATTAGGCCTCTGGATAATGGAGTAGCCCTTGTTAGCAGAAGCAGTAGCAATAATTACAGTACATAAAAGTTTATCTGGAGTGGAAGCTTTAGATTTATCTTAACCTAAAATAGTAACCCCGAAGCAGTGAATTCATTAATCTGTCTACCAGAAGTATGGAAGATTTTTTTTTTCAGAAAGTGCCATACATCTTTTGCTGGGCACACAGCATAGTTTGAAGTGTGTTCTGCTGTGTAGAGGAATGTAGAGGGTATGGTATGGAGGGTATGACAGAGGGCGGTATGTCCAGGAGCAGGGTGTGAAGGGTATGACAGAGGGTGGTATGTGCAGGAGCAGGGTGTGAAGGGTATGACAGAGGGCGGTATGTGCAGGAGAAGGGTGTGGAGAGTGTGACAGAGGGTGGTATGTGCAGGAGCAGGGTGTGGAGGGTATAACAGAGGGCTGTATGTGCAGGAGCAGGGTGTGGAGGGTGTGACAGAGGGCAGTATGTACAGGAGCAGGGTGTGGAGGGTGTGACAGAGGGCAGTATGTGCAGGAGCAGGGTGTGACAGAGGGCTGTATGTGCAGGAGGAGGGTGTGACAGAGGGCAGTATGTGCAGGAGCAGGGTGTGACAGAGGGCTGTATGTGCAGGAGCAGATAATGAAAGGTATGACAGTGGGTGGTATGTGCAGTACAGGAGCTCAGAAGGCAAGAGAAGAGAAAGAAGTGTGGAGAGTATGACTGCTGTCTGTATTTTCCAGAGAGTAGTATGCTGGGCATGATGAGGGAAAAATGTGCAGGAGAGCAGTGGGAGGGTATGATGACCAACCAGGGGCGGACTGACCATTTGGGAACTCGGGCACTGCCCGAGGGCCCGGGGTCAGTAGGGGGCCCCATGAGATGCCCCTGGTACCTTATCATATACTTTTTTGGGTGTTGTTTGAGTGTGGGTGAGGACACGGGCCCCATGATCCCCTATTGCCCGGGGGTCCCATGAGTTGTCAGTCCGCCCCTGTGACCAACTGAACATTTCATCTTTTAATAGCTATCACTGATCTCTCCAAAATTAGCAGCAAATTAATTAAAATATAGTCATAGTAATACAGGTAAATGATATGGTTAGGAAAGTTTTCAGCTGTGCACATAACTATAATGTACCAAAAAGAACAATTTCTATGTATGCACATTGGATTTTTAAGGTGCCAGACTGATGTAAAAGAAATCATATAGTATATCATCAAAAATATTTTGTTTTTATATATTTTAAAACCATATAGAACAGTTTTTGAGTTCATATACAGTATATCAGCTGCTAACACACATTATATTTATATCCCTATATGTATAAATGTCCATATCATCCTGACCGTAAATGTATTTTCATTCCGTTGAAGATAATTCCTGTACTGAGGTTAATTTTCAACATGTTTCCTAGTTCATAAATCTGCTTCTTCAGGAGACATAGGACATATAAAGCAACCAGCCAGCAATGTAATGAACTATAAAGGATACATAAAGGGGATCCTGTGCTGCCAAAGCTTATATTCAGTTTAATAAGTCTGTAAAACGTTTATGTCCTGATATGTAGAATTGATAGTAAGAATTCATAAGTCATAAAGGACCTTAGATTCCATACCAGGGGCGGACTGACCATTTGGGCACTCGGGCACTGCCCGAGGGCCCTGGGGTCAATAGGGGGCCCCATGAGATGCTCCTGATACCTTTAATTGGCTTTTTCATAGGTTTTTTTGGCTGTGGCTGAGGACACAGGGGCCCCATGATCCCCTATTGCCTGTGGGCCCCATGAGTTGTCAGTCTGCCTCTGTTCCATACTAAAATGTATGTAGCAAAATCCTGTTCATAAGGAACATACAGGAAGCAGTTTTGATGACCAAATAGGTGTTTAAAGGCCCCCTCCCCACCAAACCATCCCACTGCTGACACATTCCCCTTCACCTCTGCTGAGATGGTCCACAGACTGTGATATTGGTAAGTAAGACTTAAGCTGCCCATTAGCTGGTTGAAATTTAGCTGGTTCAACAGGAATCTGCCTCATTTCGAACAGTGTGTGGCAGTCCCCCCGCTCAATAGAAGTCAGTCGCTTGATTGATTTCTGTTAAAGGGACTTTCTGTTAAAGGGAGTTCGAAACTTGTATAACCATCCTGTCATTTTTTTTTTTCCGATCAATCAATGCTGCTGGATACAGCCGGCAACACTGTTTATTGTATTCTGATGGTGGGTCTGCCATCAGAACACAATAGTGCAGTGGGAATGATTCCCCCATCCACTTCAAGTGTGTGGATGGGGAAGTAGGGTCATTTCTATGGGTTGAACAAATAAAAAAAAAAAATGAACAGAACAAGCATATTGGCACCCAAGCGCTCAGAAGTAGACAGAGGCACCCATCATATGACCCTGATAACCAGTTTAGTAGCAACCAGGGTACAAAAAGTAAAACAGCAATGCAGCCCTCCTCAAATAGGGGAAATCCCGCACTGTATAAAACATAAACAACAGATAGAGTGCAAACACCTAGTGCATTACCCTTGATGTTTTATTGTATAAAATAAATATAAATTATACTCACAAACATTGCGAGCTAAAAGCATACAAATACATAGGCCACGTAGAAAAGTCCACTTTCCAACACCACCACTGCCATGGTGTTGAAGAGTGGATTTTTCTATGTAGCCTATGTATTTGTATGGTTTTAGCTCACAATGTTTGTGAGCATGGGGCGGACTGACACTCATGGGGCCCCCAGGCAATAGGGGATCATGGGGCCCCTGTGTCCTTGCCCAAACTCAAAAAAGCCTATGAAAAAGGTACCAGGGGCATCTCATGGGGCCCCCTACTGACCCCGGGCCCTCGGGCAGTGCCCAAGTTTCCAAATGGTCAGTCCGCCCCTGTTTGTGAGTATAATTTATATTCATTTTATACAATAAAACATCAAGGGTAATACAGTAGGTGTTTAGGCCCTCTCTGTTGTTTATGTTTCTTTAAAAAAAAAAAAAAAGCTTAAAGTATTGTCACTTAAAACTTGTTGATCAATCCTGGTGTCAGAATTAAGTGTGTGTTAACCATTGATTCACTTTGGTCAAGCTCAACGGTAGATTCCTGTCCTGACCGATCTGGCAGTAGTCTCATCACCTCTTTGTCTAAGCAAAACATTCATCCAAACGATCATGTATTTCTACACTAAGGACTCAACTACAAATGAAGGTTTCATGGAAAATGATACATAACCCAAATGATTCATTTGCTATATATCAATTTCAGCTGTCAATAAACAGTTAAATGTCAAGGCTGCAAAAAAAATAAAATAATGATATATAGATAAATTCTAAAGGGAATGAGATCTCAATTATTTCATCAGCCTAGTTAAACTGCCATCATCCTGGATGGCTAAAAACTGACTTTTTAAAGAAAATGTACTAGTAAGTAGCTGTGTGTGCCTTTTAAAAAATGTGTGATGTCTACACAAAATACATGGCTTGTTTTCTAAAGTTGCCCTATAAGCCTTGGAAATAATGTATAAACACAGCAACTGAAACGTAGCTATACTTGATGGGGAAACTGATGATAAATTATGTTTGATGGCTGAATAAGTAAATTATTTGATGTTGTTTAAATTCTTTAACCAAAAAGTATTATGAGCGTGTAAATAATGAGGATTAGCGCAGTAAATGTGCACAGATTTCCACAAGATAATGAGGTCATTCATTTGGACTACAGTTGTTTTACTCTACTCCTTGTGGGTTTCTGTAACCCATGCATAGGCAGCGGAGAACCTCAGTGGGACATAATAAACAGAACGCTGATTGCATTTCAAATCACACACTTTATTGGACTCTGGTAATGTGAGTAGTGTTCTGTCTTCTGAGTAATATGTGAATGTTACAGAGGGGCATGTCATACTGCTAGTTTGAAAACAAGGTCACACAATTTGAGTGTGTTACTCAAGGGAATAAAAGAGGCTAAAAGCTACACATTAGCTGACAGATGTTTTCATGTCAAAATCACAGAGGGTGAGATTTATCAGTTTAGCCCTTTTGTTTATCTGCAATTGTTAGTACTGACACATGCTGATATAGGCGCATTGAACCCCAAGCACTAAAGTACACTAATTTAAAGGCAACCCAGCTGAAGCTCCCACAGTGCTTACGGTAATTATGGCCCAAATATCTTATTTGGTTACCCTATATGGTAAATAAATTCTCAAGAAGAAGACTTCTGCACACCTGTAGGACACCATTTCGCACAACCGGACCACACTATGGAAGACCTCAATATGTTAGTTCTTAAAGGAAATTTCAAAACTATCCAGGAAAGGAAAACTTTTGAACTAAGAATGATATTTCAATTTGATACAAGAGATAAAGAGATAATTTGAACATGGCATTTCTCACTCATTATCCAACAATTTTACGACCCCCTCTGTGAATGTTGTCTCAACCCCCCCTCCCCGCCAGTCTTTGCATTTGCTCTGTCTTATCTCTAGTCTAATCCTAGTTTTATAACCATTGCTGTGCACATTGATTTATGTGTGTTTTTTACTGTTTTTCTTTTCTCCCCCCCTTTTAACATTCTGCTAAAACTTTGTGATGTAGTACTGCTTGGACCTTGAAGAAGGAGACATACCCTGAAAGCTTGTCCTCAAAATTGAATGTTAGTGCAAATAAAAAAAGTATCACGGACAGTACTCAATGGGATTACCCAAAACACGACTACATTTGTAGGTGTACTATAGCTATATCTACTTTGGCCACTAGATGGCACTAAGTATCATAGGAAATGCCTATGATACTTATCGCCATCTGGTGGTTAAATGCAGTATTTTCCCTTTTGAAATTAAAGTGGAGTTCCACTTACCTGTCAAAAAATAAAAGTCAACAGCTACAAAAACTGTAGCTGCTGGTGTGTCCCAGTGTCACGATATAAGGTCAGGTTCAGAGACCAGTTGCTATAGCAGTAAAAGGCTTACCTGAAACCAGCAGTACAGGTACACCAGCGGATCCCCCTGGGAATGACGCAGGCTCACCTGAGGTGCGGAGTCTAAGTATTAACCGGTATTCACCAGAGCTCCTAATGGTGGAGATGGATTGAGCTGCGTGTTAATACCAGGTCGCAGATCTCAGGATCACCCCACCAGGGAATGAGCAGACTGGGAACCAATAGCGGATCAACAGGTTAGGGATCAGACGAAAGCAGAGTCAGTCACAAGCCAAGGGTCGGTCACAAATGGTAGCAGATCAATCGTAGTACGTTAGGATGAGACAAAATCGTGGTCAGGAACAAGCCAAAGGTCAGTAGCGGAGGTGTAGACAGCAGCAGGAACAGTAGCGGGATATTGGCTGGAAAGGCACAATAATCTGGCAAGGAGGAAGTGCATGGACATGGCTTTTATAAGGAAGTTCATGGGAGGAGCAAGGAGTTCAAGGTTCAAGAGTAATCAAGGCACAAGGCAGGATTATCCAAGAATTGTCAAGGGAGCCGTCCAGCATTCCAGATAGCTCAGTGAGAAGAGACATTGCCTCTCACTGCAGAAGGACCAGGTTCGATCCCAGGCTCTGACAGTACTCCCCTCCTCACAGGACGTCCCCTGGACATCTTAGGACCAGGCTTGTGAGGAAACCTCTGGTGAAATTCTCTTGTCAATCTAGGAGCATGGACATTTTCCTCAGGCTCCCAAGAATTTTCCTCTTGCCCATATCCTTCCCATTGGACAAGATACTGCAATTTTCCTCTTAACATCCTAGAGTCAAGAATATTCTCTACCACATATTCTTCTTCACCCTGTACCTCAACAGGAGGAGGAGGAGGAAGAATTCTTCCAGAGAAAGGATTTTCATGAAATGGTTTGAAAAGTGATACATGAAACACAGGGTGAATCCTCATACTGTCAGGAAGTTTTAAGCGAAAGGCGACTGGGTTAATCTGAGCAGAAATCTGGAAAGGTCCCACAAACTTTTGGCCCAACTTTGCAGATGGAACATGAACCTTCAGATTTTTAGTAGATAGCCAAACCTTGTCACCCACATGAAAGGTAGGAAGTGATCTGCGATGACTGTCGGCAGCCCTTTTATAACATTCCTGAGCCTCCCCCAAGGTCTCAATCAACTTTGCTTGAGTCTCCTGCAAGGTAGTTAATCTGTTGGCAACAGCAGGAATTTGAATTGTGATAGGGAGCTCCGGAATAAAAACTGGATGATACCCCATATTGAGGAAAAAAGGGCTTTGGGAGGTGGAGCTATGTTTAGCATTGTTATAGGCAAACTCTGCCGTAGGTAAATAGTCCACCCAGTCATCCTGAAGATAGCTGACAAAACACCGAAGGTACTGTTCCAAAGTTTGATTGGTCCTCTCTGTCTGACCATTAGACTGTGGATGAAAAGCAGAGGATAGGTTAACAGTTACCCCTAAGGCTGAACAAAAGCTTTTCCAAAATTTTGATGTAAACTGTACTCCTCTATCAGATACCACATCATCAGGAATTCCATGTAATTTAAAAACATCTCGAATAATCAACTCTGCAGTTTGTTCGGCAGAAGGTACCCCCTTGACAGGTATAAAATGAGCCATTTTGGTAAGGCGGTCGACGACTACCAAGATAGTAGTCATTTCCTTTGAGGGAGGCAATTCGACCACAAAGTCCATAGAAATTGACCCCCAAGGTCTCGATGGAACAGGAAGTGGCTGGAGTAACCCCAAAGGAGAAGCTCGGGGTGTCTTATGACGTGCGCATGTCAGACAAGAGGCCACGTAGCGTTTGATATCCTTCTTGTAACTGGGCCACCAGAAGGA